GGAGGGAGGGAGGGAGGCAGCAGCTGTGAGAGTGAGCTGGAGCCCAGGAGGAGGTGAGGACGGAGTGCGGCCAGGCAATTTCCTCCTGTCCAGATGGAGGGGTAAGACAGGCGCACAAGTAACCAATTTACCTCTTTGTACCCTCAGAGGCAGAGATTCCAGCTTGTCCAGCACAGCCACACTGAAGTCACCACTGGAGTGACCTTGAAGAGCTAAAAGGAAAAAAAAAACCAAAACAACAGAACCCTAAAACCAGATCCCAAGCAACTAAGTAAGGTTTTCCCAGGTGTGGGGGGAAGGACACATTTCAGTACCTCGACAAGATGACTGACGTTGGGTCTTCTGGAAAAGAAAGCTGGCCCAGATTTTCTGCACAATATTAGCATTCTACAAGAGTAGAGGTGGCCAAGGTGCCATCATCCCACATTGTGCAGGTCTTCGATGCCGAGGTGGGAGCCATGCCCAGGGTGAGGGACACAGGTTACTGGGAGCGTGGGTCAGGATCAGCGCTCCCCCACGAGGTGGTGGTCTGGCTGGGCTGAGGTGGTGGAGCAGGTCCTGAAGACAGCTTGGATCCCTGCCTTTGAGGAAGCTGGTCAACCCCAAAACCAGATCTCTACCACTGAGCTGATTCCAACTCACAGCCACCCCGAGGGACAGGACACACAGAGCCACGATGTGTCGAGCGAGCGTATTCACCAGCTCACCGCTCTTCTTTCTTCACCGCAGACCAGCGGGTGCATTTGAAAGGCTGACATTTGTACTTTAAGCTTTGTGCCACCAGAACTACAAATATACAACTGGGATAAGGAGCTGCACAGCAATCCAAAAGCACTCAGTTCGAATCCCCAGCTGCTCTGCAGAAGGATGGCAGTCTCCTCCAGTGTGATTTACAGCCTCTGAAAGCCTGCTGGAGGGGCACTTAGGGGCCGGTTGCAGACAGCAAGCTCACCCAGGATGCCAGGAACCAGGACCCCCTCAACAGTAACGCAGCTTCCAGAGCAGAGGTTTGCATGTGAACCCAGAGGACACAGCCAAGAGGTCTTCACTTCACTGGGACAGTCCCTGAGCTTAGAGAAGAGTTGGAAAGACCTGAGCCCGGTCCTCAAACAGCAGGCCCACTGTGAGCAGGAAGGAGGACGGCCTAGCGCAGGAGACACAGTGTCCACACCGGCGCTGAGGACCTCGCATCAGACACGTGCACACCATGTACAACATGCCAGACACATGCATGGTCCACACAAAATATGCCAGGCACACGCAGTCCACACAGCACATCAATCCAGACACACACACACGCTCCACACAGCACATCAATCCAGACACAAGCACGCTCCACAGAGCACATCAATCCAGACATACACACACGCTCCACACAGCACATCATGCCAGACACATGCACGGTCCACACAGCATATCATGCCAGACACACACACACACACACTCCACACAGCACATCAATCCAGACACACGCACATGCTCCACACAGCACATCAATCCAGACACATGCACGGTCCACACAGCATATCATGCCAGACACACACACACACACACACACACACTCCACACAGCACATCATACCACACACACGAACACGCTCCACACAGTGCATTATGCCTGGAGAAGCCCAGACAGGAAACCCCCACACCGGGAGAGGCCAGTGGTCAGAACACCGCTAAGGGATGACAAGGGAAAGGTGGACACAGGGTGAAGCCAGAAAATGGAGGTCCTGGGAGCCCATTCCAGCTGCCTCAGACATGGAGTGAGGCCTCAGGGCCCTTGTGTCCAGCCCCCTTGGAAATGATTTAAAGGTGAGAGGTCGGCCCCCAGGACAGTGGTGTGCCCAGGCTGACCAGACACACTGGGGCCTGCACCAGCTCTACTCTTGCTAAGGACTGTCAGTGCAGGACCTCGAAGCTCTCCATGAAATCCCTGAAGTTGTTCCTCATCGTTTTGTTGGCAGAGAGAAGGGGCCTCCCCTCCCGCCGCCTCCCCCGCTCGGTGTCAGCCTCTCTGGGACTTGTCACTCAGGACGCCCGGTGCCCGGAGCTGGCGGCATCGCTGCCATAGTAAAGCCCGGAGCCTGGAGTTGCTCAGGAGCAGGGTGATGGAGTGTGTGGCTGAGCACGTGTAGGTCATCACCTCACTCATCCAGTACTGACGTTCCTGGGACGGGGGGATACCCACAGCACTGAGCAGCAGTGACAGGAGGTAGGAGGCGAAGAGGACCGTGAAGGAGACGAGGGCCAGCAGGGCCCTGAGGTGGGCCCGGGCGCGGGTGTCCCGACACCTCGACATGGTCAGGAGGGCCTTCTTGGCATAGCGGCTGAGAGACGTGAAGAGCATAATCATGCTGACCAGGAAGAGGGTCATGGGCAACATCCAGGTGACCACCTTCAGCGGGAAGAAATAGAACCGCTCGTAGAACCTCCTGGTGCTGTCCCTGGTCACGTTGTGTGTGTGACGGTCTCTCCGCAGGTGATCCTGGTATACCTGCCAGTTGCCGAAGAGGAAGAAGAGGGTGCTGAAGCTGGAGAGGCCCAGGGAGCTGAGCAGCATCCACGGTACCCACCCTGACACCTTCTGCTTGAGCCAGAGGAAGGTCGGATGCGTGAAGGTGGAGATCTTGACGCAGTAGAAGACGCTGAGCCAGGTGGAGAACCAGAGCGTGGCTGCGTTTAAGAAGTCCCACTGGAAGGAGAAGACCTGCGTCAGGGGGGTGTAGGGGAAGGCCCTGGGGTGGAGGAAGAAGTAGACATTCTTCTCTATCACCACCCACTGCAGACAGAAGCGGGAGGCCCCCAGGCTGACCAGCAACTTGTCACAGGGGGACAGCTTCCTCCGCTGCAGCCACTCAATGCCCAGCACGGCCGTGATGAAGCCATTACCGGCCACTGCCATCAGGCACAGCAGAAACAAGATGCCAGCCAGGACAACAGCTGGCCTGTCTGTCACGGGAGGTCCTGGAAATAAGCCGTCTCCAAACACGTCCTCCATGGGTCAGACGGGTTCAAGGCTACCAGGCAGTGCTTGTGGGGCTGCTCTGGAAGACCCCAGCCCCTTCCAGAAGGTCACTTTGTATGTGAGTGTATATCCCTCAACTACCCAAGTGCAGAGACTGAACCAGAGTCGAAGACCCAGACTCTCTGAACTGGGGGTTCTGTTTCTTGTCAGAAGAGATGCAAATATTGCCAAGGCTCAGTTTCCAGGGCCCCCCCCAGGTGCCCTGTATTTGCCTGTGCTTCTTGCCTTTCCCTGCCCGTGTCAACAACAGTGAGGATGATGTGTCAGCCCCTGGCTGCCATGGAGGCTGAACTTCTCGAAGCTGACACCTGAGACACAGCTGCACACCTGGTGGGGCCCAGGGGGTGATCTATAGGCAGCCCCCCCCAGAGTCCATACCTTGTCCATAAGGGTTTGCCACGACATATGTATTCTTCTAGGGCTTGCCCTTGAACTTGGCCCATTCAACATTTCATTCAATAGGTGCTAAGGAAACACTGTCTGACAGATAATAAAACAGAGCTAACCTTTCTGTGATTGTTGTTCGGTGCCATCACGTCAACCCTGACTCACAGCAACCCCACGACCAGCAGACCGAATGTTTGCTCATCCTGCCCCACCCCCACAGTGTCCACTGTGACAAAGCCACCGGCACAGTCACTGCACCAGTCCACCTCAGACAGAATGTTCCTCTCCTGCTCTGCCCCTTTGCTCTTCCCAGCATGCTCGCCCCTCCTGAGAGCATGCCCGAGGTCTGTGAGAGGGAATGAACTCAAATCCTGTTATACGGGGTGACCAGCACAAGATGAGAGCAGCGTTGCTGTGTTCGTGGGTGTCAGCGAGCGCTGATTTCTGCTGGTCCCATGCAGGGCGAGCAGAGCTGCTTCACAGGAGTCTCTTTCTTTTCCTTCACCTTGTACGGTGTTTGGGGTGGCAGCTGCTGTTATGAGTTATGGCAGAGCTCTCCCACGTCCACCTTGCCTTCCCCTTTCCACCTTTCTAGTTCCTCTGTAGCTCCTTGCCCTCTCATCTCTGATTTTGGGCAAATGTTGACTGTTCCAGTTCATTGTTCAAAGGAGCTCATTCCTCACAGGTGTCCTTCTTTATGTTATTGTATAAGAATGTAGGCAGCACAGGGACAGCTGCGTCCAAGCTCTGTTGACTTCACAAAGGGGAACAGTCCCCATCAACAACATCCACACTGAACAAATTTCCCCTAAGATCAAACATGGCCTCCACACCCCCACCCCTCCTTGTAGCATTCCAACACTAATGGTACCTCTCTACTACTGGGTCTGAAATCCATTGCAATGACTACATAGATCTCAAATAATAATATTCACGGTGACGAGGTTTGCAAGGGAAGTTAACAGGTTACAATTCAAGCCATCAACAGGACAGAGTCCCTCCATTAGAACAGCTTCTTAAGCATGGGACCCTTTGAAGCCCCACGGCTTTAGGTCAGGGTTACCACGTTCCCTCAGGCCTCCAGCAAGCTGTGGTAGAGGGCCCTGGCTCTGGTTCTGCGGGCAGAGTCCTCAGTCAACTCCGCCTCTCCTCGGCCTCTGGTTCTCTGCTGAGGCGGCTGCAGCTCTCCAATTTAAACTTTATGGGATGAGAGAACTAGCTAATCCCCTTACAACAAGGTTACATACATTCTATCTCAGGTTCCCATCCGGGTATGTGCTGAAAGTCAAAGCCATTGTCAAGAAAAGCCATTTTGAACAATAAGCCAAAGGAATCAGAGTTCAAGTCCAACCCAAATCTGCCTGAGACATGACCTTCCAGCGTGAATTCAGTTCCTGGTTAAAAGACTATCTTAGTGCCGTAATCTTAGGGGTTCCTCAAATCTGTCTGTCTGGCTAGTAAGTCTGGCTATTTTTACAAATTTTCATTTTGTTCTGCATATTTCTGCCATTCTAACCAGGACTTTCTGCTGTGTCTGCATTCAGAGCAGTTGGTAGTATCAGCTGAGTACCACCTGGTCCTTGTCAGCTAGAAAAGACTGGTCCATGGGAGCCCTCAGCCTCGGGGGCCATCTGCTTCCTTGGCCCTGATTTCCTCCCGTGTCCTCTGTCCCAGGCATGAAGAGGCCAGAGGTCTATCTTGGAGGACCCCCTGCAAGCTGGTTTCTTTTCTCCTAGAGCTTCCTTGGCTGGGATCTGTACAGGAGTGGATCACTAGGCCTTTCTTCTGAGGTGCCCCTGAGTGGATTTGAACAGCCAACCTTCAGTTTGTAGCGCAGTGTAAAACCTCTCCCCTACCAAGAGGCCTAGAACAAAGGGTCCATTAGCTCGTGCAGTTAAGCAGACAGGCATATTTTGCAGTATTGTGTAAATGCCTTCACAATGGCATCGACTCATGGCCACCATGTCATTTAAGCAGCCTGTGCCCTGTTCTGCGCCACCTGTGTTATCACTGAGGTGCTGGAGGCCTGTCCCATAAGCAGCAGCTTTTAAAGAGCGTCCCACAGAGCACCCTCACCCCAACAAGATGTCCATAATACAAAAAGAACGTGGCAGAAAAACCCAGGAGCCAGTCTCAGGCTCCCTCCCACGCTTACCCCTTCACTCAGAGTAAACTATGTGTCTCCATCGGAGAAGTATTATCCATTGTAAGTCACAGGATTATCCTAGAATCTCCATTTTCCCAGTAAAATAGAACATTCGAGGTCATTTTAGAAGAAAGAAGTCACAGTCATATAGAGGCAAATACAAGAGACAAATTGCCCCAGGACCGAGATCTTGACCATGCTTCACAGCACAGCTTACACCCCATCTTTTGTGTCCTTAACTGGAATCAGAAAACCATGATTACGGTTTTGTTGTAATCACTCGGTAAGGAAGTTCAGGCTGGTCAGCTAACCCCTGCTCACATAGAATACAGAATAGAACCTGGATATACACTTGTGAGACTCAAATGTGATCATCCACACAGGAATCGGTTTAGATACTCTCCATTTCTGCACATACATAAGAAGTCATTATCGTATTGACCATCTCCCATCCCATCATTCTCTAGGGTGACCCATTGTCCAAGGAAAATTTGTAAAATGTAGTAATCGTACCCCAGAGCTCCAACAGTGGGCCCAGTATCTTTAACCACCAAGGGTGGAGTAAGCAAACCCCACATCTCCCATGGAGGCTCCAATGTTGACTCAAGACTCTACGTCCAGTTAAGTCTAAGCAGGTTAGGAAAGTCCTGGGTCAGCTATGACAATATGGAAGACTCAAGACCAGGTAATATGAGAGAGAAGACTGGTGCACCCCCTTCCTAGCCTGACCTACAAGCCCCACACAGAGGACCTCACAGAGGGAGGTGAGAGTAGAGGCATCCAGCCAGCCTGGGTCCTGGGTCCCAGGGGTGTTGTCTCTCCAGCGTAAAGTCCTTGTTACAGTCATTATGGTGCTTCTGGTCCGAGGAGGTGAACTAAGGTAGCTGTTTGCCCGCCCCTTCTGCCGGTGTGTGAATTCTCAGGAGATGGGCTTTCCAGGGCCCTCTTGATTGCCCTTGTACCTTTGTCTGTTCCTATGCAGCATGGCACCAGAAGTACAGTTGGGGCCCAGAGCTCTGTGGTTTGACAGGCTACAAACTTCCAACTCAGGAAACTCTTGTCTTCCCTGTCCACCTCCCCCTTTGCCCACTTCTGCCTTTGGACCAGGAGCCCCCACTGGCACTCACAGTCTCAGCAGCTTACAGACAGGAAAGTGTGCTGTTATCTGTGCTTCATTTAGCTACAAGTTGGCAATCACCAGCAGCATGTCACTCTCAAGTCCCTGGATGGTGGACTGGGATGACAAAAGGTTCAAGTGCACCCGGAGGTGCCTAGGAAGACAAGCCCAGGGCTCTACCTCCGCAAACCCAGCCACTGATAACTCAGGGAGTACGGCCCTGCTCTGGCATGCATGGGCACCCAGGGCTGCAGTGGGCTCTCTGCTAACTGGTCACCACGGAGAACTTGATATCTACCATGCTGACCATAAACCACAACCACTTCCGGAGCCCATACTATGTAGATAGCACGTCACCCAATGCACTCAGGTACCCAACGGTGTTTCACAGCACATGTTCAATGGGGAAGCACATCAGCCAATGTGCTCAGATACTTGCGGAGTTTCACAGCGCATGCTCTGTGGGGAGCCTTCTGTCCTGGTTTGCTTTGGTTTCATGTCACTCTCTTTTTTAGATTTACAGTTTTCTTCCTCAGAATAATCCAAGCCTGAAACTTTAGACTTTTATGTTTAGTGTTTATCTGTAATTGTGGGGGTTGTAGTTCTTCAACATGGAAAACCTTCCATGAAATTCTGCCTCTCCCACCCACTCACCTCCCAGCATCCTCTCTCCTCCTCACACTGCATTATAGGGACCCTGCTTCTTTGCTGTGCTCCTGGCCAGCGAGAGAGAAAAGCGGTTCCTTCAAAGCCTTACTCCTGCTCTTCCAGTGAAGGTTCTTCCTCTCCTCCTCCCTTCACAGGTGGGGGCTCTGGGACCTCAGCACACCAGGACTCTCCGACTGTTTACCATAATGACGGCTGTTTCCTTGAAATTTCTTAGTGGCTTCTGTCCTGGGCTTTCACTACTACTCCCACGCTGATTAGTCACAGCCTCTGAGTGCCTCTGAACCATGACTGGCATTTTCCCAATATCTTCTAGGCCAGGGACTCTGGTGCAGTGGATTAAGCTCTTGGATTCTAACAGAAAGCTCCACAGTTCGAAGCCACCAGCCTCTCTGTGGAAGAAACATGAAGCTGTCTGCTCCCACAAAGGTTTCAGCCTTGGACCCCATGTGGTGTCCACTCCGTCCTACAGGGCTGTGAAGAATTAGAATCAACACAACAGCAGTGGATTTGCATTGAGTTTTCTTCTAGGCTATTGGCACACACACACATTTATGTGATATAAATTCCATGCCCACAACAGGGGTCTTTGCTGTGAATGGCATACAGATCTTGACAGCAAATGCACTATGTACATTGAAGAGTATACACAGAAGCACGGACGTGAAGCACAAGCTGATCTCCCGTCTTTTCACAGGAGTTCACACCTGGGGTGTGAACACCTTGGTCTGAAACCTGCCACTTGGAGCTGCAGGGCCTTCCCTCCCCAGGAAAGCAAAGAAGCACTAATTGTTGCCAGTTGCTAAGTATCATCGAGTTGGATCCAACTCATAGCTGGCCCTCCGGTGGGTTTTCGAAGGCAGCCAATCACACGGGAGGAGATCGCCCATCTTTCTTCTTCCATGCAGCAGCTGGTGGATATAAACTGCAGGCACTTGGGTCGGCAAAATTAGAAATTGTAAAGGATTTTCTTTCGCTTTCTTTCTCTATCTCTTGTTGACCAAAACTCAGAAAAACAAAACAAAAACCATTTTCACCCCTGGCACATCTTTTTAATTCATCACACGTGGGGAATCAGCGGTGGGGCCAGCAGTGGGGCAGGACACTCCAGAACACTGGACTCAGTCTTCAGTATGGTCAGCGCCATGAGTGGGACTGGCTTCCATCAGGACTCAGAGAAGAGCACTTGGCTCCGTGGTAAAATTCTTGCCTTCCTCGCAGGAGACCTGGGTTTGATCCCCAGCCAACACACCTCGTGTGCAGCCACCGCCCATTTCTCTGTGGAGACTTGTGTTGCTAGGATCCCAAACAGACTTCAATGGAGCTTCCAGACTGAGAAGGACCAGGAAAGAGAGCCAAGCACATCTGCCTCTGAAAACGAGCCAGGGGGAAGCCCCTAGATCACGATGGTCTCATCTGTAACCAGTCACAGGGCGATGTAAGAGCAGGCAGCTCCAGGCTTTGTGCCGAGGGCGGTGTGTCACCAAGAGATGCGGTGACTTACAGGTATCGGCAGATGGGGCAGAAGGAGGAAGTTCTAGGTACGTCGTAACCTCAAGCTGGAGGAAAGAACGTGAGAGGAGGGAGACAGCCTTTCTTGGGCTGAGGCAGAGGAACCAGGCTGAGAGAGGGCTACAGTGAGGGGACTGGACTTCGCCACCAACACAGCTTGACCAGCAGCCACTATAGGTCTCTGACAGCAGCACAGGTCAGCATTCCAGGGAGACCCGGAGGAGACCAAGCGGGAACAGGACCACACCCCAGGTCTGTGATCTGTCCCTAGGGGATAGTGGAGAGACCAATCCCATGGAGTCGCTTCACACTCCCAGAGCTCCCATCGGAATGTGTGTCAGGTTAGAGCTGTGCTTTTGTAGGCTTCTCATTGGCTAATTTATTATTATTTTTTTTTCTTCTAATTCTTGGAAGCAGACCATCCGTCTTAGCCTGGAAGCTCCACAGAAATCTATTGAACATCACTCTAACACATAAGCATTCTTGGATAGACGGCAGTATTTGCACATGAAGTATCTTCCAAGGCACCAGGACTCCTGTTTGGAAGGGGTGAATTCTGCCACCAAGCCAGCATGGCTCTTGTCCTGAGCCCTCTGGGTAGACTAGAACGTCAAACCTTCCCATTAGCAACAGAGCACATTGACGATTTGTAGCACCTTGTAGGGAGAAGACAGAGGGAGGGGAAACAGAAAACCTGGGTCCTGGGAGGGATAAGAGAGAAAGGAATGGGGGAGAGGGGAGAACGCAGAAGATCAAACCTTGCTTCTCCGAGCCCTGCATGGCTCAGTCTGGCACTGGCTTCTGGTCTGAGCCCCGGGGAGAGACCGGTCCCCTGTCCAGGCCCCCACAGCGTGTGGCCCCTCTCTTCAGGATCCTCTTGAACCTGGGACTGCTGAGCAGTAGGATGGTGGAGTGCAGAGAGATGCCAGCGTAGGTCACCACTTGGCTGAGCCAGTACTTGTGGGCCTGCAAAGGCGTGATCGTTATCACCACAATCAAGGACACGTAGTACAATGAGTAGAAGACAAGGAAGAAGAAGAGAGACTTGAGGGCCACAGTGTGAGCCTGGGTGCTGAGGTCCCAGGACCCGTGCTGGCCAGCCCGCATCTGGCCCAGGTGCCGACGCAGAGAGAAGATGAGAAGAGCAGTGGACGTGAGGAAGAGCAGGAAGGGCACTGAGAGGCTCAGCAGCACACGGAGCAGAGAGAAGGCCCAACGGAAGGTCCACGCGCTGGCGACCCAGCTGCCGTTAGAGTGAGGCTCCTGGGAGGTGCCCACCTGGATCTTATTCCCAATGGCCATAGAGATGCTGGTCAGGACTGACACGGCCAAGGAGCCCAGCAGAAGCCTGGGCACCGAGCGCGAAAGCCTCCACCGCACCCAGAGGAAGGTGGGGTGGGAGAAGGAGGCAATCTTCACACAGTAGAAGCTGGAGAGCCAGGCGGTCAGCCAGAAGGTGAGCGTGTTGCTGAAGTCCCAGAGGATGCCAAAGAAGTACTCTCTGTGGTACAATTGGAAGATGACCAGGAGGTTGTTCATGACAGCTGTGCTGTGTAGGCCAAGACGGCAGGCTGCCAGGCAGGTCACAATCATGTCCCCTGCAGGCATCACCCGGCCCCGCAGCCACCCATGGCCCAGCACGGCCACCATGAAGCCATTCTGGAGTATAGCGGCCAAGGACTCCAGGAAGAAGGCCGCCATGAAGAGACTTGTGAGCAGAGAGGGCATCTTCTCTGGACCTGAACTCACAGCACAACCACAGTCAGCGCAGCTCTCAGGCAGCAGACCCAGAAGCCAAGCTCCTGATTCACACAGAAGGCCAGCTCCTAACCACCCAGGGCTCCCAGGACTGGAGAAGCAAACCCACGGCAGGCCTGTAACATGGAAATCACCCCATCTCAGTGACAGCTCTCCATTTGCATAGCCCACATTTGCCTCTTTTTATCTGAGCAGATGCAAGGAGGTGTCAACGATATAAGCTTGGAGGGGTGCATGGTATTTCTCCTTTTTTATTATTATGGTAGAATATATAATGATTTGCTGCATTGGGTAAATTTGGTGCCTAGGACCCTTTAAAGTGGGAAAGAGCCAGATGTCATCGTAAGGATAAAAAGCCACCTTCAATTGTTCCATCTGAATTGGAAAGTTGGAAATGAATAAGGAAACGGAAGAGGAACCGTCTCTGAATTGTGATGTTGGCAAAGAGTGTTGAATATACACCATGAACTTCCAAACGAGAAAACAAACCTCTCGGACGAGGTGCAAGCAGCGTGTTCCTGGAAAGCACGGAGGGTAAGACTTCGTCTTCCATGCTGTGAACAAGTTGTCAGGAGAAAGCACTGTTGTTGTCATGGGCCCTCAAGTCCACGACGACTCGTAGCGACTCCATGCACAATAGCTCTGAACCCTGCCCTATCCTGAGCCAATCTCACTGTCTCTGACACACCTACCCCCCTTATCCCAGCTACTGTGTCAGTCCATCTCATCCAAGTCTTCCTCTCCTGTACTGTCCTTTCACCCTTCCAAGCGTGATAGCCTTCTCCATGCTACATGCCCAAAGTATGTAAGACCAAGTCTCAAAATCCCTGCCTCCAAGGAGCAGCTTAATTTCACCTTCTCCAGGACAGATCCGTTAGTCATTTTGGCAGCCCACGGTATGTTCAATACTCTTCTCCAGCACCACAACTCAAAGGCATCAATTTGTCTCCTGTCATCCTTGATCATTATCCAGCTCTTTGATACACAGTAAGTAACAGCAAAGGCCATGGCTTGAATCAGGTACACCTTAGTCTCTAGACTGACATCCTTGCTCTTCAGCTCTCTGGAGAGGTCCCTGACAGCAGACTTCCCCAATGAAATTAAGTCTTTAATTGATTTTCTAAAAAAATCAAGTCTTCTGTTTTCCTGACTGCTGGTGCCAAGAGTGTCAGTCCCTAGGGAAAAAAATTTCGTGCCTGGAAAAATAGAAGTTCAGTGAAAAAGAGACCTTCCGTTGGGTGGACTGCTGACATGGCTACAGCCGGCTTCAACATAACAGAGATCATTATGGTGCAGGATCAGGCAATGTCTCACCCTATAGCACTTGGGGCCACTGTGAGTCAGATTAGGCTGATGACACCTAACAACAAGATATGTAACAGAGCAATTGATACACTATCCATTTTTATGAGTTCACCCAGCGATAGCAACACATTGACCAGGCTATGCAACTACCATCACTTCTCTGTTTGCACATTTTTCCTTAACTCACTACTTTGCTAAGGAGTTATGGTGGCATAGTGTTGGGCTGTTAACAAGAAAGTTCACAGTTCAAATCCACCAGCTGTTCCGTTGGTGAAACATGAGGAAGTCTGTTCTCTTTAAGATGTACAACCTTACAATGGAATTCTATGCAGCATGCAAGAGCAATGATTTTGTAAATTATCGCCTAACTTGAGAGTGACTGGACAGCATTATGCTGAGTGAACTCACTCAGTCCCACAAGGGCAAATACTATATAAAACCGTTATTGTAGAATGAGTATGAGGATCCAAGGGTGGGTGGGGGAGGGTGGAAGCAGAGGGATGAGGATGTGCAGGGGGAAGGAGGATTAATCACAGAGTTGGGCAGTTTGATGGGTGAGGGAATGAGGGAAATTGGAAGAACCTGTCCTTGAAGTCAATGTAGTCAAAGAAATAAACTAGTATGTTTTTTAAATTTCAACTTTAGTAACTCAATGGACAGTTGCCATGAGTTGGGATCAGTTTGCCGGCAGTGGGTAGGCAATTTCCTTAAAAATTTTCCTTAACATATGTAAGTGCCTTGTCTGCTTCCCTAAAGTAACCTCCACTGTCCACAAATCTTTCCTGGCCATCCATGTCCTGGTCTAAATTGTGACTTGTATACATTGTGTTGAGATCCTTTCTGTAATAGGTAGAGGTTCCACAAATGGCTTGTGTTCAGCTACTTATATGAAGGCTAACAGCTTGACCCCACCCCTTACCCTCAGCAGAGCTGTGGAAGAAAGACTTGATGATCTACTTCTGAAAAGATTACACCCAAGAAAGTGGGTGGAACAGTTCTTCTCTGAAACATAAGGTCTTGCCATGACTCAATTGACTTGATGGTCATGACCTTGTTTTCCTAGCATATAGAGGAGGAAGAAATCCATATTTAGCAATGTTTGGAGTATTGACTTCAAACACTCTCCTTCCTAAGTGTTCATAGATTCCAGGGACCCACTGGCCAACCCCATATTGGAGGTCAATGAGACTTCTGTTAAAACAAAGAAGTCCCTGGATGCTGATCTAGAATCTGATAGCCACTAACACCTTCTCACCAGTGTACCTGGCAAGTTAAAATTCATGAACTCCTGATGAGTAATTGTCTCAAGAACAATTAAATGCCTCTTTTGCTATGAGACGAGAAGAACTAGTTGGTGCCCCACTACTGTTCTTGAGAATTTTGAACAAAGATGCTAGAGAAGAATCTTTGCAGAACAGAATTTCAAAATTCCATGGAATCCAGACTTTTTGGAGTAATAGAGGCTTCCTGAATCCCTGAGCCTATCACCCTAAAATAATCTTTAACCTTAAATCAAAGTTATTCTTTTAGTCTTCTTAAAATAAATGATAGTTTACCTTAACTTGTAAAGAGTGTCTGACTTTAGCATTGTGGTCGTTTAAGAGTTGCAGTAACTCCAAAGGTTAGATAGGAAGTTTATGGGCAGTGAGTTTATGTTAATGATAACTCCTCAGAAAGTTAAACAACATGACCCAGTAAGCCCTCTCTGAGGTATAGACTCAAAACAAGTGAAAGTTGTTGTTAAAAGGTAGAAAAGTTCTGTGTAGTGTGATTAGAATTATTGGGAGAAGATGATAGCGAGGGCTTCACAACATATGGCAACTGTAATTAATGTCACAGAATTGTGCACTTAAAATGGTAAAGCATCAAATGTTATATATATATATGTATATATCAGCAGTAACATGTATAAAAAGAAGACGCTTAAGATTGTCTTGGTTGTTGGTGTCATTGAATCAATTCTGGCTGATTGCAACTCCATGTGGCCAACTAGAACCACTCATGGGATTCCCAAGGTTGTAATTTTTGCAGGAGCAAGTGGCCAGGGCTCCTTCCACCACAGTCTGTGTATCGTTGCAACCACCAAGCTTTCTGTTAACAGCTTCACCATGCTTCTTGGTTGTCTTAAAGATTTGGAGAAATACGTATTTAAAAATCCAGGTTTGCATCTCATGCCAGTAGCAGTGGCACAATTTAACAGGACAGCAAGTAATAAATGTTGGAGAGGACGTGGCGAGATAAGAACTCTTATACCCTGTTGGTGGGATTGTACAATGGTACAACCACTCTGGAAGGCAGTTTGGCTCTTCCTCAAAAAGCTGAACATAGAAATTCCATATGACCCAGCTATTGCATTGCTTGGAATATACCCCAGAAAATGAGAACTGAGGCTCAAACGGAAACTTGTACACCAGTGTTCATAGAAGCATTATTCACCATCACAAGAACATTGAAACCTCCCAGATGTCCAACTACAAACGAATGGATTGAGAAGTTGTGGTACATTCATACAATGGAACACTACGCAGCACACAGGAGCAATCATTTTGTAAATTACCACCTATATTGAGAGGACCTGAAGAGCATTGTGCCAAGTGAACTAACTCAGTCCCACAAGGGCAAATATTATATAAAACTATTATTGTAGAATGAGTTATGAGGATCCAAGGCGGGGGTAGGTGGAAATAGAGGGATGAAGATGGAGGCAACACTCTTGGTACCAGGAGCCAGAAAATCAAAAGACGAATTGCACTAGAAAGTCAGGGACCTCTCCAGAGTAGAGCAACGATGCCTGTCTGGAGACTGAGGTGCGCCTGATCCAGACCCTGGTCTTTGAAATTACTTGTTATGCATCAGAAAGTTTGACAATAACTAGGGATAGTAGAAAGAGAATTAATGTCTTTGGGCTGTGGTGCTGGAGAAGAATATTGAATATACCATGGACTGCTAGGAAAACGACACGTTCATCATGGAAAGGGTGAAGCCAGGCTCCTTGGAGGCTAGGATTCTGAAGCTTAGTCTCACATACTTTGGGCATGTTTCAAGGTGAGAGGGACATTATGCTTGGGAGGGTGGAGGGACAGCGTAAGAGAGGAAGAC